ATAGAAATAATAATTTTAAGTATAAAAACTGTTTTTACAGCAAATATAAATTTGAGAACTAAAAGATCAAAATAAATATAGTTAGATGACTAACTATTCTCTAACAGAATAGTAAGTTTTCCGTCAAAGATAACCAGGTAGACGGAATTGAAATAAATCCGAAAGTTAATAGACCACTTAGAAATAAAATATAGTTTCTAGACTAAAATGAAATCAAAGTGATAGTTAATAGACTAAAAATTGAATTAACCCATTTTTTTATGGTAAACTGACAACTGTTTTTTAGAGTCTAAAATGAAAGTCTCTTTTCTAAATGATATTTTATGGTCTGTTAAGTATCCTCTCAAATTTTGTATTTTGGAAACTTAGAACTACAGTTTTGCTAAGTTGTCAAAATGAGATGTACAACTTTCAAGAAAGAGAATGTTTTTTTATAATTTATCTACATAAATTGCATTATTTTTAAACATTAATGTAGGGTTATGGCTCCCATGGTAAGGGATTTACTTTCCATCAATAATTATAAGAAGACCACCCTTAATCTCACTTGTTAACACCCATCAATGGTTAAAATCGGATGCCAGTAACTCCACTTGGATCTAATCCAGCTCCTCCTTGACTGTCTTTGAAGCTCTCACATAGCATCTTATTTCTCACCTTTGATGTATCAATTGCCCTACAACATACATTATAATTAAAATTTGGTACATACGTCTCTTAGTTTGTGCATTCGCAACTATAAGTTGGCAAAAATTAATCAATTAATAATTACTAGGCAATGAAGAAGATTTTGCTTTTTCGGCGGTTCTCAACCGTAGTGAAATCAAAATCATAGACTGCATAATGACATTCATTGTCAGGAAGAGATGAAGTGAAATCCTCGGTAGGATTCCTCAAGTTGTCCCAGCTTTGTCTATCACCACCTGTTGGTCTTGAATCTTGAAGGTAATGAATAGGTAGTTCTCCTTGCCTTTAGCTCCAAAAAATTGAGCTTACAGTTGTCATGCATAGCCATTCCAGTTTCTAGATGCCGAATTACATATAAAAAATTACACATTGTGATTCATTGAAAAAAAAAAAACATATTGTGGATTTTTAGGCTGAACTAAGAGTCCAATTTGAAAATTATTATTTGGTTTAATACTTTTTTTGGTCCTTCTACTATTGAAACAAAATTTTTTTAATCTTTATACCAAAAAAATTTCTTTTTTAATCCTTAACTTTTAAATTTTGATTTTTTTTAGTCCCTCTCTTAATATTTGCTCATGTGGTAAGTTACCCTAACAGAAATTACTGATGTGGATATTCCACCTTGTAAATGCTTATGTGGGTTTAATATATCCCTCCGTGTCACTCTTTTTGCATGAAAAAAAAAAAAAAAAAATTATATATGGAATTACCAAAAATTCCCCTTCTTCTTTGTCCCATTTTAGCAAGCATCAAATCTCTGGGTCTGGGTTTTCATGTGCGATGGCGTCGCTAAAGAAGACAAACACTTGACGATAATAGTATACCAACTGAATTGCTTGGTGATTTCAAACACAAAATTAGGATTACGAAATGGAAACTAGTGAAACTTGGGTTCAATCCCAGAAAATTGGGTTTTGAATTCAAAACAGGTTCAAAGGAACCCAGTAAAACCAACAACTGGGTTGGAAGGAACCCAAGGACTAGGTTACTTTAAACACAGAAATTTGGGCTCCTTCAAACCCAAAAATCTGGGTTCGTTGGAACAATTAGTTGGGTTCCTTCGTACCTAGAAATTTGGTTTTGTTGGATTGGAACCCAGCAGTTGAGATATTCTGCATAAAATCATCATTCACTTGTAAATTAACTGCAAATGACTAACTCTGCAGTAAGCAAGATAATTATTTTCGACTTCCTTTCCTACTTCTCTGACTAGTAAGGGATCTCCGTTTGATCTTGCCTTCTACTTTCATTGCGAGGCGATGAATAGCTGCAAGTTTCTGGCGTTTGCTATAGCTTTTCCTTTTGCTACAGAAATAATATTGAATCATTGATAAAGACAATATTAATACACTGAACAATTACAAGGAAAAATGATAAATAAAGAGGATTCCCTTAGATATATTGAAGACGGAGAAGAGAAATGTGAAGAGATGAAGAACATCTATCTAATTAATTAAATTTTATGTTAATTTATTAATTAATGGGGCTTAGATGATGTGGCAAAGAAAAAAGAGGAGAAAGTGCCACCTCAGCGTGCAAGTAAGCAAAAATGGCTCCAGCGTGTTTAAAGTCCAACTCAGTCTGCCGTTAACGATTTGCTTAGATCACGTGACGTTACGTTAAATTTAAAATTATTTAGCTAAACTGAAAATTTTGTCAGAAGAGTTTTTTCCTTTGTTGTTTTTTTTTTTTTTAATCACTTGTTATCTGAAAATTTTTTAACAAAATTACATTTTTAAAATTTTAAATTAAAACTTTTAATTAAACTGAAAAAATTCATTACCAACTCATCCACGTATCCGTACGCCCCTATTGTTTAAGTCTGGTGTGACCCCTATTGTTTAAGTCTGGTCTGGACTTGGGCATTTTAAACATATAAAATATAAAAACACTAACTACATCTCAAAAATTCTCTCTCTTTCCCCCTTTTCTCTCCCTTCTCTCCTGCCTCTGCCTCCCTTCTCCGCCGCTGTGTTGTTTTTGCTCGGAAGCCTTTGAGCTTCCGAGGTTTTGATGCTTGAGCCGCCGGATTTCCTGGCCGTTCAAGCATGGTTGGAGCCGCCCTGTGCTCCCCCCTCCGACGACCCTCCCGGATCTGTCGGTTTTTGGGTCCCCTTTGGTAACCCCTTTGGTTTTCTTGTTTGTTCTTGTTGTTTGGTTTTTATGTTTCTTGTATAGTTTGTTTTTCAGATCTGGCGACTCTCGCTCTCTCCTGCAGATCTTGTTAGGGGTTCGCTGTTTTTTTTGGG